TAATCGTGTGCATTAATAGTATAATAGTGTGGTTAAGCGATTATATAAGTTTGTTTTTTGAAACCTTAGATTTACATAATTTAAATGTAATAGTTATATTTTAATTTTTTAAATGCAATTTTTATGGCTGAAATCCCCAACTATATTGGACCTTCCTAAGTAGAGAGAATGTGGATAATTCCTCCTAAACAAGCTCAAAAATATTAATGTAATAAATAATAATCTTTTCTTTCTTTTTGATTTGCCTATCTTCGCTAAGTTGGTTATGTCAGACGCGTTTCGGCATTTCCCACTATTCAGTGTGTTTTTGTCTGTTAAATTTGACATCCAACCCAGCTAGGAGAGGCAAACAAAGATGATCGATGATCACGATGACCATGATTAGTTTCGAATGCTCTCGTCCCAGTAAATACAAGCTGATTTTGCTGTTTGCCGCTCGAATTTTTTAGTTCATTAATAGGGTATTCTAATTTAGAATATAATTTGCAATCAATAATACAATTATATATTTGTCACATTATCATACCAAACATATTTATCGGACAGAACGCTAGTCACATAGGTTGGAACAGTTTATAATTCTTCTTTACGCATTGAATCGAGAGTACCACAAGGTATAGTTATAAAAATAATTCACTAGTTTTCGAGGTCCGCTTGACCAATTAATATCTTTCAATTAATTAAGGTTTTTAGTTGAGATAAAAAAGTCAGTGTCACGAGCGGGATTCGAACCCACGATCTTCGGCTAGATACGCCGCTGCTCTACCACTTGCTGGTTATATAGCTAGTTTGCTAATATCCCCCTTAAGCCAGATGATCAGGAAATTGTCGCTTCCCAACGAAAGGGGTCCAGCGGGTGCTTTGGACAGATATGTCATTTCGTCCCCCAAAGCTTGCAAAATTTAATCTAGCATAAAACCTATATACAGTCGCACAATTAAATAATTCGCACCTAAGTATTGGGTTCTTTCACATGAAATGTTCGTTTTCAAGGTAAAGGTTTGTTAGTAAAATTACTATATAAAAACAAAATCATTTAATTCGAATTTTTTACCTTCATTAATTACACATTTTCCCCTACGCTTTACCAACTTGTTATGCCGGAACTGAACAATTGTGAGCTTTGAAATGAAACAAATTCTGAAAAAGCTTTTTGGTCATCATTTTCAAAAATTTTTCATTTGACTAAGTTGTCTAAATCCCTAAACACGTGGAAATCTGGTGGAGACAAGTCTGTAGAATAAGATGGATGCTGAAGAACTTCGAAGCCAAGCCTTTTCAATTTTTTTTGCAGTATGTTTGGAAACATGAAGCCTGGCGTTGTCATGGAAATGTATAGTACCTTTCCGATTTACCAATGCAGGTTGTTTTTTGAGTAATTTTTTATGCATTTCGTCAATATCCTTGCAGTACTATGTAGAGATAATGGCCTCACCTCTAGGCAATAAGGATTAGTGAATAATTCCAGCTACCCCTTTCAGCTAAAGCTTTCCCCCATACGGTCTCTATCCATTTTTTTAGTAAATTTGGTTTTGAATGTGTCCTGGTCTTTCGTCGATGTTTAAGCACTGCCCTGACCGACATTGGTTGTTATATGCAATCTATTTTTCATCGCAAGTGATTATTCTTTCAAGACAAGTCTTGGTTTTTTTGCGTGGCGAGCAGCGAAACGCATGTCTCAAGGCGCTTTAACTTTGCTGTATCGTTCCAATTTTAGTATAGGTACCGCCGAAGCGAGTGACACAACAATAATTTTAAAGATATATATTGGTTATCGAAGGAGCAATGTTTGGACTCTTGGTAGCAAGATTATAATAACAGCAACAAAAGACTATTTTACAAGAACTTATTTCCTAAGGTGTCGTTGGTTCCCAGGTTTTCAGTTCAATATGCAAATAAAAAGACCAATAAAATCATTTCCCGACTTCCATCAAATCATGGCATATGTAAAAATTACTTAAAAGATAAACCTTCCATGGACGAGTTATGTGCGTGCGGACGCTCAGTGAGCTCATGAGGGACCCATAGATCAAGCTTTTTAACTTTTCCTATGTTCCTTAATTGTCTTGACACGATAGATGCACTTGCATTTAGTTATGCTACGAGTCCTCTGACTGTTTGATAGTTGTTTTCTTCCACCTAAAGCAAAAGGACATCCTTGTCAATTAAAGTTTGAGGTATTCCGCGGGGTTCTTTTTCCAATTCGGTATTCCCTTCCGAAAACTTCCGCAATGGTCCCTTCCCCAAACGCCTTACTGACGTTTCTTGCAGCCTCAGCTCCCGAATGACCGAGTTTAAAACTCGTAAAAGAATATTTCATATTTCCATGTTCATATTTGGAGGTATAGTAAACAGTGTGTAATGTATTGGGGAGCTCATCATTAAAAACAAAAGTGGAAGATTAATAATTGCCTAATTATAATATGTAAACAATTGGAAGTCAACAATAGAAAACCGCTATATTCTCTCTCAATTTCTGAAACTATAAAATCGTACTTTTCATGTGAAACAACCCAATACATTGCACTCATTATGATTAGTCTGTCGAGTACTTGATATTTTTCCGTTGACCTACAGACAATATTAATAATCTAATCGAAATTAGGGGTCAATACCTTCCTTTGCCATCAAAATAACACAAATTAATCAAGCATTTCACACATTACAGAATACCGAAGAAAACCGTTACCAATAATGGTGTGGAATTCAATAACTCACTGGTCAAAGAATTACTTAAAGTCTATAAAATCGACACTTTTTACCAGCACACAATATCCACGATCAAATTGGATGATGGAACAACTACACTCCACAATTTTAGAGCTTACTACTTCTTTACTATAGAAGAATGATCAGAATAAGGACGACAAACTTAACTATGCTATATTTGACTACAACAGCACGACATATTCTGACACAAAGTACACACCACTTGAATCCACAGTGGCCACATAAATAGAGACTCCCTACTAGATATAAATGTAGACACACAATTAATTAAAGACTATATATCAAACCACAGAGAACGAGTTAGATTTTATAGTTTCAGAAATTCAGAGAGGATATAGCGCGGTTTTCTGCTGTTGACTTCCAATTGTTTACATGAGAAGATTAGGGAATTAAGCCAAATCAACAAAGAGAAATCTATTAACAAACGGAACGAAAACAGGGAAACCCTCCTGAAATTCCCAAAGAAATTACGTGCGAAACAACCGCAAAAATAAAGACCCAACACAACAGACAAAATTTATTTAGAAAACAATCTAGGAAGAAACAACAAAAATCTACAACAAAAGAAAACAACGAAAATCTAATGATTAATTTTTGGTAGGGCTGAATCCGATTGTTGCTTCTTAAAAGTTAATTTTTTTATTATGTTTTACTAGCATATATATTTCTTAATATCAACTGTTGTTAGCCAAGGTTTTAATTTAAAAAAAAAATATAATTAGCAGGTGTTAATGGGAGTATCACCATTCATGAGGATGAGCCACATGAATCCAGTAGTTGTGGATTTTCTATACATGTCTATTTCAATTAGATTATTTATTATTTATTTAGAAATCGTGAGATGCGGTCTGGTGTGATGTAGGTTTCAGAAAAACATTTTCTTTATCGTGCCAACGTTTCGATCTTTATTGAGATCATCTTCAGGGCCTGGGATTTACAAACATTGTTTACATATAACAATTACATTTTGGATGTGGAAAAGTGAATTTATACAATTCAAAATATAGTTTTTTATATATTCAATCAATCTATATCTACTCACTCAAAGTGTTTGCGTTCTGTGTAATTGTGCCATTCTTGCGTGTCGTGTCGAGAATGCCATTTATTATGGAGTGCCATTGAGTTATTTATTACGGACAATTTTAAATCTAATATGTTTAAACAACCATCCTTATTTATTTCCAATGTGAAATTTATACTAGTTTTAAGTATTAATTATTGGATTCTTTTAGAGGGCCTAGTTTTTACGACCATGTACATTAAATGTTATCTACATAACGTTTACAAACAAGGACAGATTTAATTAATCAATTTGATTTGAAAATAATTTTTTCAAAGTTATCCATAAATATTTCAGCACAAAGTGGGGATAATCGAGACCCCATTGGCAGCCCGTACATTTCATTATTTAATTTACAATAATTATATGTTAGGCATATATTTAGGAGTTTTATTTTATCCTTTTTTAGAAATTTGTTAAGCTCTCCATAATTTTTCGTTTTATTAGTTTAGTACATTCTTCAACAATTTATAAATAAATTAGTAACATCAAATGACACTAAAAGGTTTAAAATTGTGGGTTTTAATTATTTTATCTAATGTAAGAAAACACCACCATTGTTCTGAAAAGCTAATGTATTTTTAAAAACAAAAAGCAATGAAGTTAAATTGCATTTATGAATTAAAAGAAAAATAAATCTACATACATCGCAAGGAAATTTGGAGTGTAGAAGCCAACATTTCCTCTGTTTATCTCATTATCTATGCCAATTAAAAGTAGAGCATCAATTAACTTAGATCTTCATTTGAATAACGTTTAAATTCTTTAATTGAACAATTCCTTTTTGCATATATTTTCTCCTCCTGGATGGATTTGATATCTTTAATAAAAAGAATCGCCATCACTGTTTCTGACTTGGTATTGTTGAAAGGCTCTGACATTTTCATTTGTATATTTCTAATTATATTTTCATACAGACTGATAATTAAACATTAACCGACTGATTAAAGCTAACAAACAAATCTGTTCCAAGTCACTGCTCTTAGCAGTAACCTCATTTTATCGAGTCCGATCCAGGTTTTACCAACTAACTTCTTCAGTCTACATATTCTTAAAATACTGAATGATTTTATCAACAACTTTGTACAGTACATTTGCATAAAGAAAGTTGAATTGCTTGAGGTGCTTGAGGTATAAACTGCATCTGAAATTATTGTCATCCAGAATAACGAAGAGGAATGTAGGTAAAAATTTAAAAAACAAGTGTGGATTAATTTAAGACTTTTTAATTGTGTTGAATAAATATTAATTACAATAGATCATCTATTATTATATCACAGTCAATAAAAATTAAGGGTATAGGATCTACCGCTTTGCGCTAAAATGGGGAAGAAAATATACAAAGGGGCAGGAAGGGGGTGTTATAAATACAATAATAAATACAGGAACAAAATTAAAACAACAGCCGCCTCGGTCTCGTGCTTATGGGATTCGGCGTCTGAGCCGGCCAGCGGCGGGCAGAGAAGAGGCTGAGAGGAACTTCCGCTCTACTCCAAAATTAAAAAACCAAAAATCAAACTGAGGACGACGACACATATCGGACGCTCCGTACTTCGTCTTTCGGCGCTCTGGGCTCCGGACACTCTTCAGACGGACTTGAAGAATTCGCAAACTTCGATGACATACTCGAGGCAGTTCATGAATTCCCTGTAGATCAACCAATCCCTTATCCATCTGAAGGACGAGTCAGAATTGGCCTTGCGCAGGTCTGGAGACATGACGCTGCGATCGACGTCGTCGATTTTAAGCTCCGGCATTTTCTCGCTTATCGCTATGTGCACTTCGCAAAGCACCTAAAACAAAAAATAAGACAAACATGAGTCGATTGCTACAGAAAAAGCGTGAGATAAAACAAAGAGGGCCATTTTACAACGACGAAAACAATTTGATCCCATCCGTTTCATAATTATAAACAAAAAATCACAGTACATCCCAGGAATATCCCAAAATTAAGCCGCGGTTGAGTGTAAACATAGAAAAACAAAATTATGGTTGGTTTATATAAAGTATGTATTGTTTGGTTTGATCACGTTTCAGCTTCTCATCATCTTCACTGCTGGGTCGAAAGAAGTCGTCGGACCGACTCAAAATGCTAGGACAAGCAGGTCAAAACGATGGGTGTAATCCGTTTAAGTAGGAACAGAAGTACGAAGTCTGTACTGTGTCTACCATTGTCCCAAGGATTAGTTCATACTTTTAAACGATATACACCAAAAGTCCCATGTGAAATTCAACCGGCTTAGATTTTAAAATATGGATCGATTATCGTTCGGAAGCTACAGCAAATGGATTTGATTCCATTGCGTTGGAAGTTCTCTATTTAAAAATTAACTTCAATAAACGCAAAATATTCAGCAGGATGGGGCAACATTCGTACAGTCAATATGAGATTTCTTAATATTGAATCACATATCGACTTCGATGATGATGATCAATCATGGTAAAGTGACGATTGATTACAGGACAAACGATTTCTGCCAGAATTTACTCGGCGACGTCATTTTGTGATTTTGTGCTGGATAAGTCCAAAAACACAAATCTTCAGAATTGCGATTCAGGATCTTGTGTGAGAAACTTTCCTTCTTGATTCTATTAATTATCGCACGTCCCTAGGGTGCAGAATTAGCCTTGTATGTAGCACTCTGGCATAACGAACTTTCGAGTAATGCAGCTTCTCATGAGATTCGATGGAAGCAAATAAACATGTTGGATGCTATCGCAACCCTAATGGCTCTCAGATTGGAGTGAAAAACCACCTACAAGATGGGTAAAACTCTAAAGAAAGAAAGAATCAACTCCCAATAGAGAGATCAAAATGTCCTTAACTTTAAGGAATGGTTGTACAGTTCAGACCATAATGGGGTGAATTCTCATCGGTGTACTATAAATACAGAACACTATAAAACCCCTGAATTATAATTTAACCAAAAGAATAGAGCAAGATCAGTTTGAGCGTATAAGGTCAAAGTAGCAAGTGGTTTTTCCCCGATCAAAATCCTTGATACTTTGATTTCCAGAAAAGATCTTAGAAAAAATGTGGCGGTTTTAATCAGTTTAACATTTATTTTACTCTTTTTTTGTTTATTTGATTTTGATGGACATTTCACATTCTGCTGGATATACTTCTATACTTCAATGAGTCATTAGTTTGGTTGGTTGTCTAATGGTCAAGTGAGAAAATTTTTAAAAAATTAAAATAAGCTCGTCTCTTAGCTGCGGAGAATTTTTGTTTTCAACGGATGACACATGATTTTTTTTTCATTCCAAAATCTACAAAGGTGTTAGTTAAACCCTGTGTTGGCAACATTGGTTGGCGATAGGGAGCGATACCGAAAAAGGCGGCGCGGCCGTTTTTATCGCCGTTCTGGCGTAGACGGCAAGGATCAGAAGAAGTTCGAGAGGGGAAAAAAGGCGATCGAAATGGCGTAAAAGGCCGCCAAAACCGCAGACTCGGCTAAACTGGACAGATAGGTGCCCCCTTGATCAGCCGGCGTTTCAACAAGGCGGCCCCTTGTTTTTGACTTTTTGGTCCTCACCTGCTTTAGTTTGTACTGCATGTTGAGGAACTCTGGGCTGAACTCTTCGTTGAACCTCACCATGTCTTGGTGGATCTGCTCCAAGCCGACGGCGACTGTCTGGAGATATCGGTAGCTTTCTACCAGGTACCAGTCAAGCTGGAAAAAAATTGAATATACATTACTCTCTTTTATTTTAGGTATTTAGGATATTTTTACAATTGGTCACATCTCTACTAATAAATAAACTTTATTCACGAATAAAATGATACATGTACTACGTGATATTATATAAAAGGTACAACTAAGTTCCGGAATTGTTAAAAATTCAATAAAAAAAGCATTTTGATTGCAATAAGAGCTCAAAGTATTTATTTTATCAACGTGGAATAAAGTTTAAAGATAAATAATCCTAGCCTAATCAACCAACACATTCAATTCACTTACTAATAATTTCTACGCAGTAATGTTTGTTAAACGAAGTTGTATAAAATAGAATTAAATTATCTCTATTTGAGATACTTATGAAATTTTCTTTACTCATATCTATTTTGCCTAAAAATTTGTCTTTTATTTCATTCAATACTGGACATTTGTCCCCATTTTCCTCGTGTACATCTCCATTATCAACTTACATAATGAACAAAGTTAAGTTTTATTTGGTAACAAGGACTTTAAATTTTGCAAAGTGACCAATGTTATGCCCAAAATAACGAATCGAATATAAATTTTAATCAAACAACGAAAATAAATAAATAACTATTTACCCTTTTTTCAGCGAGGGCGCTCAGATGGTGATCCGGAGTCTTTTCTCCCAGTCCTTTCGGTATATTGGGCAGCCAATGGTACCTTTCATGTTTCCATGTATCATGGTGGGAGTTCAAGTCTGAGTTGAACTTGTTCTTTACCTGTAAAACGAAAGAAAAAGATTGTTTAGTCTGAGTGCAAATATGTGGGCCTTTAGTTATAGTTATATATCAAAAGGCCGAATCAATAGCTTTGATTAAAAGTAATCCACTTTCTGAATTTTTAATTAAACCGGGATTATTTTATGTATAAACCTTAGTGTTCCAGTCTCGAGGAGGCGAAACGAGGACTCGAACTCACCGTTACCGAGGCGAACAAAAGACGCCGAGGTGCGGTCTTTTTAATACGTTTTTTATAATATTTATACGCTTTTTTGCGTGTTCCCAAGATGATTTCCCTTATTATCCAGGATGCGATGCTTTGTTGGGGGGAGGGGGCAAAAAGCTCCCTGACAAGCGCATTTCGGTCAATCTCGATGCATTTCCACTTTCCCTCTGGAGCTCGATCGCCGAGTCGGTGAATTTTCAAGTGAGCGAGGCAGACAATCGGCTAATCGAGTCGGCGATTCGTTCCAGCTGGGACGATTGAGTGAGCCAGGTGCCTTGCTCTATATTTAAAATTCGTTTGGCCGATTAATCACTTAGACCTTTGTTCCGGCTAACAGTCCGCCGCCCGGGGGGTAGTCTTCTCGACAATGCCTCCCGAGGAACCTATGCAGGGATTGTCGCAATCATTCCCTCGACTTCCTCTGTCGATTATCAACTGTTACATTTTAAACAAGCCGTCCACAAAATAATTTTTTTTCTCGCAAAATATTTTTTTTTATATTGACCATCCGATCAGCGTGTAGGCATAGACGACCAGCTAGACTAGGCAGACCGGCAAAGTCGGAGACGATAAAACTACAGGTTCACCACCTCACAGACGACAATAAAACATTTCACAAGAGCTTTAAGGTGCCTAGAATATCCGTTTCAAATGCTTCCTAAGCCGTTATGCCTATAAACTAGAACGGTCAAAAATTGCTTTACAGATGTCCAACAGGTCAGAAAGGGTTTTGCAAATACGGAAACGCGATGAAACACGTTTTTCGGGGTGAACGTTGCACCGGTCTGTTTGTACTCAAATAAAGGTTCAGTTAAGAAATGGCATAATGCAGTTTGCCCCTAAAGTGCTCAACCCTTCCGTCTCGGATAGAAAAGCCCTCAGGGTCCCGGGCGAACCGTTTCGGCCCGTCTCAACCTTGAGACCGTATATCATAAAAACCGACGTGAGTACAGCGAAAGTTTAGAGCCGGTAAACTAGGATTTACAGGTCGGACCGTTGTAAATCATTGAAGACCCCGAAGACGGTCGGAAATGCCCAAACATTGAAGTTCAACGCGATGATATACGATTTTCGTCGAAAGAGACTGCGGTAGGGAGAACCATTTTAAGCTTCCACCAAAACTCTGCCACTTTTGGAAGACTCGGCCTCACCCAGGCAATTGTCCTTTATTTAAATAACAGCCTTATTGAAAAATAACCGGAGAACAATAAGCGGATGGTTTGTTTCCACTGAAGGGTCGTCCGAACGTTTCGTAATCCCAAAACAAGACCGTTAACCGGTTTACAAAATTGTAAACATCCTAATTTACACTCATTTAATGAGCATTAAAGTGACTTTGTTTAAAGAAGAATAAAAGTGGAAATGCAACGTTATAAAAATATGATAGGAATGATATTTGATCACTCATCCGCGCGATTTCGACCCATTTCTTCTACAACGAAGTTTTCTTTTTTGCATCCTTCATTTTGCTTCATACCGGCGACATATTAAAAAATCGCGTATTTAACAGCCTCGCAGTAACCGGATCGAGCCCCTGACAAGGGGGTGACGGCTTGATCAGCAATAGCAGAATGCCATTGTTAAACCGAGAGTGGGGACGCCTTTCCCAAAACAATCGACACCTGTTAAACAGAAAGAGAGCAACGTCGCGAAAAGAGCGAGACGGAAAAGAGGAGAACGAGAGGATAGGACGACACAGGCCCTCTCGGCATTCAACGATAACAAACCTAGTTAGGCGTTTTTGTTGATGGTATCATCAAGTTAATTATAGAAACCGTCTCATGACGAAGGGGCTGAAAAACCGAGGAACAGCTGACCAGGCTTGCGGAGGATTTCGATCGGAGGTGTACATCAAATTTTTGAAACTGGAGCCAATAAGGGTCGTCCAGTCGACCGGCATATCCCACGGGGTCGAAGAAAGGTTTGATGACGAACACTATATATGTTTCGATATACAAAAACGATGATGATTTTATATAAGTTTTCTTTTTTTATTCTCTACGTCTAGTCAGTCTGCATGTCAGTTTCATGCAGTTTCAAAATTCGCCTAGATTTTTAAAAATTTTACTAAATAAACGTCAGTCAATGAAATAGGTCGTTTGTGAAGGAAAAAAATTAACAAATAACTTAAAAGATTTTTCAATATGTTAAAACATTTGATATTAACAAGGACGGTTTTTAGTACATTTTGAGAATATACACCAACAGGAAGCACTTAGGACAATATTGCCAATACGTTAGTACGTTAGGTAGATCGTCTAAACTTCAATACATTGTGATTTTTGGAAGTTGTAATCAAGAACTGACCCCTCCCTCATCCATAAGCTGTTGTAGATTAAGTTGACCGACTGGGAGACTTCAGGGCCTTCATGATGTTTGAGACGGGTTTGGGATGATCAGTGAAAACGATAATTGTACCGCCTGCTCGCGACCACCCAGTGCACCTTCATAACTTTACGTCGTTTGCAGATTTTAGGGTTTTGATTTTCTTGTTTTGGAAGTCAACTATCCCGAGGACAAGGTAATTTCTAAGGCTTTATAATTGTCTTAAAAAAAACTTATTTCCCCCGAAATAATTAGCCTCCGGGGGCCGCCCGAAACTTGAGGTCCATATGAAATTGAACGATCTTCCTAATAGACCTGCCGGTTAACAAGAGGAGACAGAATACACAAATAATTCATGTAATTATTTAGTCGAAGCCGCCTCGGGGCGGGGGGTGTAACAAACCACAGGGCGGTCACGATCCGTCAAATGATTTTTTCCGCTCAATTTTTTTTTTATTCTCCTTTAACTCAAACCCGCGCCTGGACCCAATTCTATCCCGGGGTCGTAAAAGCTCTTTTTTCCGCTCCTTGGAGTCGTTTTAACCGTCCAGTTCGTAAATCGGTCATTAAGAAGGACCTTTTATGTCCTACCGAAAAGGAGTCGCTTTGTGAAAACTATCGCGGAGGGCCTCGGTTCTGGCAAATATTGGACTTTTCTCTCTCACCCTATCTCACTCTTCCTCTATCTCTTTCGCTAACTGTGGCCGACGATCTTTGGATCATAAAACAGCTCTATTTTTTTAATCTGCCAAACCTCCCAGGTTCACAAAATACCCCCGGACCGATGAGTCAATATACAAACTAGCATAAAATATGGAATCCCTTGGTGAAAATATTTTTTCCTTTGCATTTAAAATGCGTATTTAACTGGCTAATGAAATCCACTATAAATAAATACACTAATAATAATTTGGAGTGTTCCGTTGTGGATCATTTTTGTCAAATCAGCGGACCAACGTGATTGGAAACGACCAAGCGACAAATAATATTTTAGTTAAACTCCTGGCTGACTGTATAGCTTTTGTAAATAATGAAGTTCGGTCGTTTTCATCATTCAAGGAGAGCTTTTCTTGCTGGTTTAATTTGTTACGTTTCAGCTGTTGGTCATCACCTGCAATATTTATATCTGTGGTTTATTCATTATTTTGAACGTCTGTCATAACTGGATTTGGGAAAAGGCAAGCGTCTATGACATACCAAACCTATAAGTCTAGAGGGGACATGAATGATCATAAACGACCGAAAATTACAAGTCTTTAACCCCTCAGACTTCAGACTTCTGATTGTTATTGTTATCATTGTCAAAGAACGCAAAAAAGCTTCCTTTAGAGCGTAACATACGGATTAATAAAACGGTGGTAAAATTAAACCACCGAAGCTCTCCTCTTCTAATCGTGCACGTTTCAAGTTGTGCAGATGTCGGCTCACAGTCCAATTAGATCATTTTTGTCAAAACAGCTTAACTAAGCGGACCAACATGATTGGAAACGACCAAGCTACAAATAATATTTTAGTTTAACTCCTGCCTGACTGTGAATAATATTAAATGGACTTCGATCGTGTTCGATCATTGAAGAAGAAATTGCTGGTTTAGTTTGTTCCGTTTCAGCTTTTTATCACAGCTCATATTATGTGTGATTTATTTATTATTTAGAACGCCTGTTATCACTGACTTTGGGATATGTCAAGTGTGTAAGACATACCAAACCTGTAAGACTAGAGAGAGGGCAGGAACGATCGGAAACTACCGAAAATTACAAGTCCATCACCCCTCAAACTTCAGATTCTGCTTGTTATTTGTTATCATCGTCAAATAGAGCGTAACACACGGATTAATAAAACGAGCGTTGTGATGAAATAAGCTATAATTTCGTGGGAAAATTAAACCGTCGAAGCTTCCTCAAGGCTCCAGTGAAGCTCTCCTCTTCTAATCGTGCACGTTTCACGTTGTGCAGATTCGGCTCGCCGTCCAATTTGTTTACACAACAACCGTCGTCGGATCCATTCAGTCCGCCGATTTCGGGGTGGGCCCCAGTCCTCGGTACGTATTGAATTCCGTCGACGTCTTGAGACCCGACCGGACACGGGGCAGACGAGGCGGAAACCCACCCGGATATTAGACAGTTGTACCAACCGGACGGCCGGACACCTCCCGTGTGAAGTGTGTGTCACCGGTTTCAGATTATCGAAGGCGACAGGCAGTCTAGGAGATCATCTGGCGAAACTCGGCACATCAGCAAACGGCCACCCTTCGAGAGGCGAGGGGGTCCGCGGCGGTGCGGTGTCATCCCACGGATGGAATCCGCAAACGAGCACTTTGCCTCTTTCGCCGAATCCCCGTGCTCAAAGAACAATCGTCACATGAATGTCAGACATAAGTTTTACTTTATACCTACACTTAATCTCTCCTAATAATTTCTTGGCAAACTTTTTATACCCGAGAATACCTCACAAGCAAGCTACAGATTAGCACCAAAACGTCAACTATAATAAACTATTATTTGATTAAAAGACCTTTAAGTACGACTAAAGTAAACAAACATTCTGGCCAAATCTGCCTACCAAGAAGAACTTGTAGAAAAAATTATAAAGTTTATATGTAAAGAAAATATATTCTGGCTTCTGTATAACAGTCCACACCATATTGTTAATTTATAATTACATAAAAGTACATAAAAACAATATATTAACAATTTTTTTTACTAGCCCTATCTGAGACGCTAGACCACTATATATAGTACGTCTTATACATATATGAAACTCTTTATTAGACAAAAGCTATTGGTTTTAATTCATTCTAAAAAAATTTATTGTCTTCTCTTTTTTTGTTATAGTATAATACTTTTATTTTAAAATAGTGAAAACTTTTGCTTCCAGTCATGTCAAACCATATAATCCTGTATTTATTTATACGTCTAATTTTCATATTGTCAATAAATTTTCAAGAATAAACCATTAATTTTACTAAATTTTCTACGTTCATTTCCTTATGTTGCTATTTATACGGATTTGGATATTTTTTAGGCTTTCCTAATTTTTGTTAAGATTTTTATGTTAGTGCTTTTCCTATGGTTTTTAATTATTTTCCTACGATTAAAAAAATACAAAAAACTGTAGGAAAAACTTAAAAAATCATTCAAATCCGTATTAATTTTATTGGTCAATAGTCAATAGTTACATCTGTTTAGTTACAGTTTGACCTTTTTTTATTTTTATTATTTTTTATTTTAATTAATTAATTGCATTCTAGAAAAATATTATTGCCTTCTCTTCTCTTTTTTTGTGCTATAGGGGTTTTAAATTTTATTTTAAAATAGTGGAAACTTTTGCTTCCACTAACGTCAAATCATATAATCCTGTATTTATACGTCTAATTATCATATTGTCAATAAATTTTCAAGAATAAACCATTAATTTTATTAAATTTTCTATGTGCATTTCTTTTTGTTGCTAGATATACGGATTTGATTTTTTTTTGCTTTTCCAACTTTTTCAAATTTTTTATTTTATGCTTTTCCTATGGTTTTTCATCATTTTTCTACAATTAAAATTTATAAAAAACCGTTGGAAAAGCTTAAAAAAACATTCAAATCCATATTAATTTTATTGGTCAATAGTCAATAGTTGCATCTCTCAAAACCAGTATGCACAAGAGTATACATCATTACAATTTATTATTGTATCACAAAGCCTTATGATAAATGGGAATATTTCAAAACAAAACTAAAAGAAAGGGGTAAAAATTAAATTAAATTCCTCACTTATCACCTTGTATATTAATGCGCAGTTTATAAACAGAGCAAGGATTAATGCAAGTATTTCCATTGATTATGTCGAAAGATTCTTTAACTCTTGCTTTTATACTAAAGCATAGCATTTTCTTTTTAACTAACTTTTAGGAATTCAGAAAAACCCAATTAACAATTATTTTCATAAGGCATACAACAACCGAAGCAATTTTATAACTTTTAAAGTATGTTTAAAGGTGTAATTTTGAAGCAGTCACAGTTTTGTTTTCAGTTTGAACCGAATTTTTAATTTTGAAAAACAAAGTCAAAAGAGTTTTGGTCAGTAAATAAACAAATTAACAAATGTTGATGATTTTTTATTAAAGTTAAATTATGTTTCTTAGGCCGTCGAGATCGGAAATTCTGCCATTAGCACGTGTTTTCCCTATCCGAAACGATTCCGCTTGCAAATCACGATCCTCCCTATAATTTCTAGGCTGAAGCGTATCCGACCGTTCCTCTAGAAATTTCCAACAAGACAAAGGACACAGGGAAAATTCGTTTACAATTGAACGAATCGATTTGCTTATTTTATGATGAAATAATTTATTGCATTGTTGAAATAATTAAACGGAAATATGTTTCATTATGTTGTCGATTAGAGGAAGGGACTGGGAAGAACGCTTTTCTCAATTTCGTTAATGTTGGCCAAGTTGAAATGATAGCGGGTTGGCATTCACAGGACACAAGTTCTCGCATAAGTTAACGTCGGGGTTTCCCAATAACCACGGATGCTTCATTGTTTGTGAAGGTTGCCTTAGTCAGCCGGCCCTAAGTTTTCCTCCGGGGGGAATTTCCTTTCATCACGGCAGGAGGGGCAGGGCCGAAAACGGAGTACCGGCCGTGTCCGGGTGTGATAAGTTGAGCAAAGACGGTCAGTTGGTGATGCGTGTCGAGACGTGAGACGGGCGCGACGTTTTTTCACAAGTCCGCCAGCTGGAGACCCGTTAGGAAAATGGACATTTTACAATAAAATGGATTAGAGTAAGGATGAGAAGGGCGGGGAGGAACGGGAGGACGTTTTTTAGACACTTTCTTAAGTCGCTCTAGCGGTGTTGGAGAAACAGTTGGCTACACCCATGCCTACTGCATAATTACAGGACACAAAAGGCAAAAAGCTCGACATATTTAACATACGAAAAAAACTGTTTTTATCGATTTCAAACGTTAATTGTAATAATCAAATTACAAAAAAATTAATCTGTTACGTTTAAAACAAAATCATTTTAAAATGGCCGATAATCTTTATGAAACTAAAAAAACTCACGTATTGGTGCGACAGAGATGAGGCGTAGCTGAGCGCGTTCTTCGCCGTGATGATGATGCCCTCGAGCAGCGTCTGGTCTGACGCCTGGCTGCTGTCGCCCTGCTCAACGGAGACGCTCGTGTGCCCGCCGCATGGGTCGACCCAAATAGGTTTCTCCGGTGGCTTGTACGGAGCAGACATGCCTCCACAGGGAAGGAGCAGGACGCAGGTCACCACGATAAATAATTCTCTTAGCCCTGGAAAAGGAAAACAAAAAATTAAAAACCGAAAATTGGTTTGATAAAAGAAACATTAAAGGAGGGAGGGTGAGAGGAAGAAAGAGAGAAAAGGGAGAGAAAGAAAGAGAGTGAAAGATTCGTCTATGTATAGAGAGAAAAAAACAACAGGACAGAGAATCATTGAGATTGAGTGGTAGGGATAGATATAGTACATAGATAGAGAAAAAAAAGAAAGAGATAGAGGGAGAGAGCGTGTGAGAGAGAGAGAGAGAGAGAGAGAGAGAGAGAGAGAGAGCGAAAGGTTTTTCTGTGTGTATTCTACATAGTGAGAAAACAACAACAGGACAGAGAATCATTGAGATTGAGTGGTATGGATAGATATATACATAAGTACATAGATAGAGAGAGAGAGAGAAAAAAAAGAAAGAAAGAGCTATATATATATATATATATATATATATATATATAGAGAGAGAGAGAGAGAGAGAGAGAGAGAGAGGGAGGGAGAGAGAGATTCGTCGTTCCTAGATACGTAGACAGAAAAAAAACAACGGGACAGAGAATTACTGAAATTGAGTGGTTGGGATAAACAGGTGGATATAGATGTATAGATACAGCATATAGATAGAGAGAGAGAGAGAGAAAAAAAAGAAATAGGTAGAGAGAGAACAGAGTGTGTGAAAGATTCGTCTGTGTATAGAGAGAGAAAAAAGAAAGAGATAGAGGAAGGGAGAGAGAGAGGGAGGGAGAGAGAGAGAGAGAGAAAAAAACAATGAAAGATATGGATAAAGAGAGAGTGAGTGAAAGATTCGTCTACGTGCAGATACATGTACAGAAAAAAATAACAGAACAGAGAATCATTGAGATTGATTGGTAGATATACGGAGATAGTATATAGAGAGTTAAAAAGAAAAAGACAGATACATAGAGAAAGGGGGGTGTGATCGTGATAAAATTTGTCCCGTTTTTTTTTTTTTCAAAAATTTAAAAATCATTACATTTACATAATTTTTAAATTTTGTTTTTACACTGATATAAGTTAAATTGAAAATTGAATAATATCGTTACTGGCTCTCTTTTATAGCTAAATATATAAACTTCTAAAATGGATAAAAAGACAGACTAATAGAAAGAGTGAGGGAGGGATCGTGATTGATATAATAAATAAATAGCTAGTCTAATATAAAGAGCGAAAAATATTGAGAGAAAGTTTGTGTGTGTGTGTGTAAATATATATATTTAAAAAAAGTCAAATGTCAAATGTGCATATTGCGAATCTCCACATCCTCTAAAAGTCGAAAAATGATAATAATAAATAAGTGTCCGGTTCTATAAACACTTAGTCCGCACAAAATCTATGTCAAAGGATTAAAATAGATTTTAAAAATGGCGGCCCCCTCTCATTCAAAGCCTTCTTTGGTTGAAATGACGAGAGATTTCATTGAGGATGGAAATAAAAAGCAATAAAATCCGCGATATTTAGTTTTTATATCCGTTGTTAAAATCGCTTCATGGACATTTCCGCAAGACCGAAAGGCGCGATAAAGTCGATATAAAAAATCGAAAGAAAGAAAAAAAACAAGCAGCGTTTACGACCGACTCATAAGCGTTAAGATTTCCAGTGTGAATATTCAAATAAAACCGAGTTGATTTAATTTCCCAAAGAGGCGATTGTGTACTGGAGCAAGGGTGTCATTCAACCTGGATCACGATGTAAACAATTCGGACCAGCGGGCCTGCTCCCATTTTTCGCATATTAAAACATCAAGTATTGAAAAAACAACCAAAAATACGAACATAAGTTATACTTAATAAATAATAATTGAGAGAATAAAACAAAAAAAATATTTGTTCACTATAATTTATCTTTTCACTGATATCTATTTAGGTACAATAGATAATTGTTCATTATAACTAGTTGGATTAAGAATAACAAAAACAACAACAAATTTGTGAAAACATTAGAACACCAAGATGGATACAGCATAATATTGATCTGAAACTGAATATTCAATAACCTACTGATGTAAAATCAAATCGTGTAATTTGTGCTGTTTATGTGCGTTTCATTAAATTTTTTTTTTTACTATTTTCCTGAAAGATCGCCTAAATAAAACTGACAGATGCACTTTATGAAAGGGACTGGAAAGGCGCAAAAGCCGATTTATTCGGGGTTATCATTTATATTTCGCATCGTTTGGCATTCGCCCTTTAATCAGGACAATAATTTTTTTTTCCTTCCATGCTCTTTCTGCCGTCGTAGCAAATAGATACGTGCCTAGGAGGCCGTTCTCTTGTCCTTTGTCTTTCCTCACTTATATTACTTTTTATTTTAACCAATTTCAGGCACGTTTTACAATTTTTAAATTTAATTTAAAAGTGTAATTTTGAAGCAGTCTCACAGTTTCGTTTTCAGTTTGAACTGAATTTTAATTTGGAAAAACAAAATTAAAAGTTTTGGTCAGTAAATAAACATGGTGAAGATTTTTTATTGATAAAAAATAAAATTGAATTTATTATGCAACGGTTTTTATTTATAACTTTTTGAGGTATGTTATTTTCAAAAATTTAAAAATCATCACATTTACATAATTTTTCAATTTTGTTTATACACTGTTATAAGTTTAAATTGAAAATAGAATACTATCGTTACTGACTGTCTTTTATGGCTAAAAGTGTAAACTTCTATATATTTTATCGCTATGTATATACGTATGTATAATTCATTATTACAAATCAAAAGTACGAGTTGTCCTTCAGTTTTCTTTTTTTGTAAAATACTTATAAAAATGAGCATTAAGGTTTATCTTAACATATAAATAACCAAGTATATACATTTTTCCTCCTTGCTTGACTTTAGAATTGGTAAGAAAGACATGAATTAAAATATTAAAAATACGAACGACTAGAGAAAAACAATTCTTTTGATAAACAATTTATAAATATCAGTTATTTTAAGTTAATTTGGCCAATTTATATCGTCTACATGTCTAGCATAAAATTGGAAAAGTTAAACTAACGTCTCGAACAAAAATTTCAAACAGTACATAGGTTTTTTGCAACGTATTCTGGTTCGAAACTGTACATTTGAATGTGACCATCATCCTCAAGGGGATGGAAAAAGGACAGTATTATGCCACGATGGATTTAAAGGTGAAATGTCTGTTACACAACTCGTTTCCATTTATGTTCCGTTATATGTTTAAAAAGAAAATGTGACGTTCGATTTTTGATAAACTTTCACGTCTGAATCTTTAATTCTTACAGGAATTTAACAATAATGCCAATCGTTATAATTTTGGAAATGCAAAAAATCTTTTTATTGTATAATAATATGCATGATTACGTCGCGAACAGCACTACAATGTTTGTCAGAACAAAAAAATCATTTTAATATAATATTTCATTATTATTAAGCTATTTTTTATTTTCGTGTTTTGTTATGTATGTTTAATCCTACAAACATTACTTGCCAAAGACGATCATAACATAGTATAAAATGATACAATACCAAGATTGCATGTAAAATTTTTGACAAAAAAAAACGAATTTTAAAGAACTGTGATAAAAAAATCCTTGAAATAGGTCTCTTTATTTTATATGGTATACTTTCTAAACGGGAGAAAAAATTCCAATAAAAACTGTCAATATAAATAGAAACCATGAAGATAAGATGGAAAATTTAATATTATAGTTCCGCCGTTTTCGATTACACTGATCCGCCTATCCTCAATGTTTTTTTTTAATGTGTGTTGTTTTTCTCATTTATTCATTTATCACAAACCACTGAAGAAAAAAAAATGTTTGACAGATCAAAATAGCCACGATAGGCATACCAGGATGACCGTAAACGATCAAATATTTCCATCTCGCAAACTTCAAGCACAAATCTCATAATTTATTTTTATACCACGTCATTAGAAATCTCGAGCAATTTTTTTAAAAAATCAGTATGAAATTGATTATTTCTATACTGAAAACGTTATTTTGGACTAAAAATCCGACAATAAAAACTCGTTTGACAGATCGAAACCCCCGGTCCTACAATAACCAAAATTATTGGTATAGACCAAACTGCAGTACATCAACACGCATAGCTGAGGTCATTAAGGATTCAAGGTTATTTATTTAATCAAAAGCAGTAAGAAATTGATCATTTCTAACTATAAGCAATCATTATTTTGGTCAAAGGATCCAACAATAAAAATGTGCGCAAATCAAAACGCGACTGACAGGTCGAAACCCTCGACTCTAGGCGGACCAGGACTTTTGTAATACACACCACAATCCACCATCCGCAGATTTCAAGAATAAATATCAAAACTTATTTTTGTACTCATTAAAATATCTAGATAGGTAGAGATCCTAAATTATTTAAATTGTTCCAAAGCAGTACGAAATAGATTATTTTTATCCTTAGGGATATTTAAAAAAACACTTTTTGCTATTTCTATCCTGAAATCCTTATTTTGGACGAGGAATCCAACAATAAAAACGTGCAAAAAGTAAAAACGCGTTTGACAGATCAAAACCAGCGATACTAGGCGAACCAGAATGATTGTAATCGATCAAACTTAAGATTCACCATCCCGCAAATCTCAAGAGGAAATATCACTATTTATTTTTGTACCTACTAGAATGACTAAGTTATTAGGGATCCTAGGTTATTTATTTTTATAAGTACAGAGGAAATTAATTGATCTCAGCCTAAAATGAATATTTTGAACAACTAATACGCTTGACAGACCGGAAAAGCGAGGATCGGCAGGATGTTCGGATAAGACCGAACTAAAAGTTCTACTCTCGAAGAAAAATATTGTTTAATAACAAATTTCACTGATAAATTCGCAAAGTGATTCGTCAAGGTTCTTCTGTTTGTTTTTGTTCTTTTGAGCAGTTGTAGGATTGAAAAAAAAATTAAAAAACGTGGAGTATCATTTCTTTTGTGCAGGTAGATCCGGTGTGTTGTCGCGATGCTCAAACACGGGGCACACATGTCAAAACCGTTCGGAATCAAG